TTTTTTTTTAATGAAAGAAAATAAAGGAAACAGGTTACTCTTTAATATGTAATAATATGATGTATTTTTACCTATATCTTAGATTTCATTTAGATCAGAAGCTGTTATTGTAAAGATTGTATTTTTTTTTTTTTTTTAGTATGATACAGCTTCCTCTGGTGGGTCTCCAGTATTGTTGAGCATTCCCAAGTTTTTCTATGAAGTATCTAATATTGTTAATATTAGACAGAAGTAAGAATTTTGTTTGTTTTTTTTAAAAAGAAAGAATATAATTTTCATGCTTCATTCATCCTAATGGGTAAGAATTTAATTAGAACTTTGAGATCTGCCAGAGTTAGATAACTTAAGAATCTTTCTATTGGTTGGCCTTTTCTTCTTTAATTTAAGAATATATCACTTAACCTTATGACATTGGATGCATTTTAGTTGTTATTTTTGTACGTGTATATAAAAGTAGCCTTCATTCAAAATATCCTTTTTGCAGTTGGCCATAGCTGATGAAGTAAATCTAAGTTGTACTTTCATTCTCATTCTTACATATAATTTACAGTTTCAGTGAACTTTGGGAATTGGGCTTTGTAGGTAAATGAATGCCTTATGGAGTAGATCTTTTATGTCTTTTAGTCCTGCCAGCCCTCCTGTTGTGGATCTGAGAACCATCATGGAAATAGAAGAAAGTAGGCAAAAATGTGGAGCTACGCCAAAGCCAAATTTAGGGTTGGTTTAAAAAATTATAAAAAAGAAAAGCCTATGTTGTATTGTGTTTCTGCCCTAAAGAATTAGAAAGACTTACTGGGTCTTTCCTGTTATTTTTCTGCATTTGATGTTATGGTTAATATAAGCCCTTTTCTAGGTAATTTACCTTCCCTCCATAATATTATTTCTTAAATGTATGTGAAAGATTACATTGACTTGATAGACCAGCTCTTCTGGAATACAGTATTACATGCCAGAAATTTGCCTTTAAAATGATCATTGTGGGCTATTTCTAAAGAAAAAACAAAGGTTTAAGGCTTTTTATGCAAGTTCCCCTTGAAAAGTATAATGTGTAGGCAGGCTTATATGTAGCTATTACTTGATCATTGATGGTATAAACTGACATTGTCACTGTTGAAACTTGTAGCATTTTGATCCAGTATTAGTAAAATTACACAAAATAAAGAGAACATTATCATTACCTGTAAACTTCATTAAGCAGAAATTAATTGTAATTGATTTAACTTAATTTCTAGCAAAATGATTTCTCATGGAGTTAAACTTTCTCAGAAACAACGGAAGATGATTGCATTGACTACCAAAGAAAACAATTCAGGAATTAATAGCATGGAAACAGATTTAACTGCTCCTTCAAAAGCCCTCAAACCAATGAATGCATGGTATGCTCTTATTTTTATTAAAATTAACAGAGATCTATGCATTAGCATTTAATGCATTCTTGCATGTGTTTCCCAGTTAACACATGTGCATATATTTCTGTTGGGTATATATTAAGGTATGAAAATGTTTGTAGAATACAGAGATCTTCAACATTAAAATGTTGAATAGGATACTATAACAAAGGCACCATCAGCAAACAAGAAAAAGCTCTTGGCAATTAAAGATTTTAATAGTTGACAGTATAAAATTCTTAAGAATGTTCATATTATCATTATATATAATAGCTGGAAATAACCTAAATGTCTATCAGTAGTAAGTGGATAAATCACAGTTTATTTTTATAGCAGAATACTACACAGTGATGAAAAAGAATGAATTATGACTAAGTACAACAATGTGAACGAATCTCACGAATGTAATACGGAGCAAAAGAAGCCGATCAACAAGAAAAAAATCAAACTACATTGATTCCACTTATAGAAAGCCAAAAATAGCCATTGATTTACATTCATGTCTTTATTCATTCTTCTCTATGTTTTAGTTAATTTTTATAATGTTTTGTTTATCTTATTGATTTACTGATTTTGTTTTTAAGTTCTGATTAGAAGTTCTGTGTGCCTGTGAGGAACAGGTTGACTGATAAGTATGACTATAAGATGACCTAGCAGTATCTTTAGGGCAGTCCCCCCATATATTTGTTATCTTCATATCTTTTTTTGTTGGTCTTCTTAGTTTATCAGTTTCTGTAAAGGGCAGCCTTTTAATTTGTTGCTGGTGAGGTATGTATTTGGTTATAGGACTGGAACTGATTCTCACCATTTGATA